TCCAAATGAGGCAGAAGATGCTCCTTCCTCTCTAGGATCTCACAGTCTAATGGGGAGATGACCCCCGCCCAGCTACATACAAACAAGATCCTGACAGAGTACATGGCACAGAAGCACCAGTGGGGAAGGCTCTGGCCGTAAGGGGGTATAGACAGGCAGACAGGGTAGACAGTGGGACTTTAACTGGGACTTAAGGGAGGAAGGGAAGCCAGGAGGTGGTGACAAGGGAGGGAGAGAGTTCTAGGCAGTGTGGCATAGTCAGAAGAAACCCCCGGAGTCCAGAGATATAGGGTGGTATTCGAGGAACTGCAAGGAGGTCGATGCCACTGAGTCATGTAGCAAGACTGGAAATGGAGGAGGAATTGGGCTAAGAAGAGCTTTGAATGCCAAACAGGGTTTGACATTTGATCCTGAGGATGATTGGGGGCCATGGAGGTTTATTGAACAGGGGAATGTCATGGTCAGACTTGTGCTTTGAGCAGATCCATTGGACAGCTGAGTGGATGACAGTCTGCAGCAGGGAAAGATCTGTGGCAGGAAGACCAGCCAGCAGGCTGTTGCAATGGTGCGCAGCTAAGGTGATGAGGGCCTGACCCAGGAAGTGAATGACTCTGAGGGCTTCAATTATCCCCCTTGTCCAGGCAGCCCCTGATCCCCCAGTAATGGGGAAGACCCTCCACTGCTTTGGGGAGGGGCCAGGGGCAGGACCTTTCAGAAATTGGTGAGATTTTACTGGGATCCTCTTCTTAGAGAATCCCCCTACAAGGAATCTGGGGCCAGAAAGGGCTGAAGCCTCAAAGAGCATTCGTGACCGATGCATTAACCGCTGCTCTTATCAGTGAGTGGAAGCCTCTACTCAGTTTTCAGAAACTTCACTGAATCCCAGTTCCACTATGCACCAGCCTGGGCAGGTCCCTGGATCCCTCGGAGCCTGTTTCCTTCTTGGCCTAGAGTCATTCTCAAATTCCTCCCTGCTTTAGATCTGGGGACTTCATAGATCACCTTTGCTCCCTAAGCAGCCTGTTTCTTCTCCATCAGCTGAGAAGTCTGGCCCAGCTGATGTCTATGCTCTCCCCCTGCATCGACATTCTCTGATGCTTGGGAACAGGGCTGCGATGAAGGGGACTCCTTCCCTCCATCAAGTACATCTTTTCCTCATTATTCAACACTTAAGGGGGATGACAGCTCAGATGAAATAGTAAGACATTCCCAGCTCCCATTACAGCTCCAGTGTGATTGCCGCAAATTAAATCTAACAGTCAATGAAATAGTCAATATTTAATTTACTCATTGTAGGTGGTGAGTTAGCCTTGGCAACGGCATTGTTTGATGACAGAAATATGAGTATTTGGCCCTTTAGATAGCAATGCAGAGATGTGGGTCTCCTTGGGATAGGGGTGTAGGGAGGGGGGAGGACACTACCCACTGCTGGAAGTCATCAAGTGCTCAGCTAAGGCCAAGACTAGCCCTGAGCCAGAAATGGAGTCATGGCCACAGAGCCAGACAAAGGACATCCCTCGAGCCACCTTCCTGGTGGAACCAAGAGTTGGGAAGGGTCAGCAGGCAGCACCTTCTCCAAGCAGATGGACAATGAGGAGGACCTAATGTAATGCTGGCACCCCTCCCAAGAGGACAAGAGGACGTCTCCTAGGAACCTCCCCAACTTGGTTAAAAAGGGAGGTATTATGGCTCATAGGGAGCTGGGAGGGTGCTCCCTCAAACAGTGTTGGTGACGATCACTGACAATATTTTGACCACATAAGAGGTAACCAAGAGAGACAAAGCTGATTTTCACCCTCCTTCCCCCCCCCACATGCAAGGTCATGTGTATGCCCCACCCTTGAGGGGAGCAAGGATAAAGCCCTCCAGGCATAGCAATAGCCTTCTACCAGGGCAGCTCTATAACATCATGAAGCCCTCTCTGCACTTTCTAGTAGCAGATACGTCACAAATACTGAGAAAAAACCAAGGCTGAGGGATGATGTGCTCACCCAGGGAAGCTGGGAAAGGTGCCTGATTTTTTCAGGCTCACCAGGCCTCCTTTAAGCCCTTCCACCTTGGCAGGAGCTGGCAAAGATTGGGTTCCATTCTCACAAGCTCTAAGAATCCCATGTCATCCCTGCACTCTAATGAAGCATCAGAGGATCAGAAGACCAAGGGGACCCTTTGTGGCAAAGGACACAGGAGAGGGTGGGGCTCAAGGAGAGAATCCTGGGAATGGCAGCATCGGAACCAATGCATAAAGATTAGGGAAGGCATTCCAAGCAAAAGATAAAAAAGATTTCAAACTTCCACACTTCAGTGACTCCAAGATCTCATCCAGCATTCTGAATCCATCCTATGTGTGCTTCTCATTCTGGCCTGCTCTTGTGCATGCCCAACATGTGTGGGGGGTGGGAAGAACTTCTCCCAGGCCCCTTTGCTATTTGTGTACACCCTGTTGGTAGCCCCTCCCTCTCATGGCATGGCTGGCCAGTCTCCTTTTCCTATGCGATATTTACAGAATGACTTCCCTTAAGCCACGTCTTGCATGGAAGTCAACACAGATAATATGCTGCTGCTTCCTGCCAACCACATGCCCTTTCAGTACCCAATAAGCCAGCCAAAGTACTGAATCTTTGAAGACCAAGATGCTCCATTATGAGCAGCCATGTGACATGGAAAAATGATGATATTAAAAAGGCAGTGTCAGACCTAAGAACCCCAATGATTCAATAACCAGTTACCATGCCAGGGGACTCTGATAGAAAGGTGAGGAACCCAAGGTGAGCATGAGACCCAGATGTTTGGACATGGCCAGTGAGGGAATTTTGTTTTTCATGACTATGCATATTTGGCATCAAAAATTAAAATAATGTCATCCAGACATAGTTTGTGACTGTGTAAAGTCCTAAATGCAGTCTCCCCTCCTCCCTTCCTCCTGTTTTATCATGACACCACTACACCATTCATCTTCTGGGCCTGTCCTTGTCTAGACAACAGACAACAGACATTCTTCATCCATTCTTTTCCCATACGGACTGTCATGCCAGTCTCGAGGCATCCTGGATCTTGGTGAGATGGCTTTGTAGCATTCAGGGGCTTGATGAAATTATCCATGAAGAGGAGTATTTGGAATCCCTCAGTACCTACAGAGAAACCCTCTTCCATTTGGATTCCCCCAGGACATGTTCCGTGTTAGCTATGAATGCCTTTGGGAGCACACCCTTTGCCTTATTTTATCCCTCAGCTAATACTGATGACAAGAGGCCCATTGAACAAAGTGACTTCTTGGTTACATCTATCAAAGAATCTTATTGGGTCAAAGGAGATCATGTATGTAAAGCCACTTTAACTCGCTGCCTAAGCTATGGCTTTATTTATTACATGCAGAACCTGGGACAAGTTCCCTCACCTGCTCTGGGACTCAGTTTCCTCAGGGCTAGGGATTAGACTCTCCCTCTACTAAACTCCATCAGCCCTAAAAATCCTGTGTCTTTGTCAGCCAGCACCAGGTGTCTTCAAGTGCTAGCCATTTGAACAGCTGATTCCCAGCTTTGAAGGGGAGCCCAGGATTTTGTATATTTAGAGACAGAAGAAGCCCCAATGGGATCTGATGCCACAGGAATTTCAATCCTTGGAGACTCTTGGGTGACTGTGTGGATATGTCCTCCTGGGTCAGGAACTTGGGCCCTGGTGTTTGGGGGTGGGAAAGTGGGCCCCATCTCCTGTGCCCCAAAGAGAGCATGAACATAGATGCCAGAGCACCCTCCTCCTCTGGCTGTCTCTGGGTGGCAGAAGGGAAATAGGACGCTTTCTTGAATCAGCCAGGTTATGGTGGTGGTAGCCAATGGTAAAGATGAGTCTCAGACTGATCTGGGGACAAGTGATATCTAAGAGCAGAGTCTGATGCCCCATCAATCCCTAATAGTGAATGAATGTCCCCTCAAATAGGGCAGGGCTTCTTCCCTTCACAGCCCACTAGGCTACAAGTCTTGAGTTCGACGCAGTGACGTGCATTTTTTCCTGCTTTTATAATCTACTAATCACAGTTTGAGCCAGAATGCATTTCAATCCCAGGGAAGCTGGCAACAGATTTCTGTGCATCCTATCTCCACTGACAAGACAATCACACCAAATCCACAGGGCAGAAGAGGGGATACTCTGACCCACTTAGGTTCAGCATTTTATGTATCTGTTTATGTTAATTTAGTTATAGTGATTAATAGCCACATTTTAAAGGAAAATACCTCCCAGGATGATACCTTTGGCATAAAGTTTGCCTGTAGCAAATTTTGCCAACTGACTTTGGACAATAAACACTGAAGGCAGCAGCTGGAGGGATGCAAAGAAGCCTGGGATGGGGGTCAGAGCCCTGGAGGCCAGGCCCAGCTCTGACACCAATCTGGTGTCCCTTTGCCCACTACCTCTATTTCCCTGTCTGTACGATAGGAAGGATGGACTCAGTGATCACACTGGGTGCTACATCGAACATTGTGAATACATCAAGGGGCCCCCCATCTCCAACGTTCCATGTTCTCTATTCTGACATCCTGTGCTCTAGTTCTAGGTTCCCTTTTGGGTCCTCCATGTTATGAGTCTCTCTGAGATTCTGGGCAAAGCCATGAGAGCAGTCCTCCCCACCTCTCCCACAGTGGACACTTGGGTCTACATCCTGTCACATTGAACAAAGAACTTCCGATCTGAGGACATCTTGTCTTTTGCTCATCCACCTTCCACTCCCCCACCCCAGGAGAAAAGAGGGCCCTCCTTACCCCCAGCCTCCAAGTCAGGGCGTACAGCAAAGGTGGAGAGGCCAGGAGAGGTGACTCACCAAGGAGCCAATTTCTTCTAGGGGTCTCAGTGGATAGAATGCTTAGCCTGGAGTTGGAAAGACCTGAGTTCAAATACAAACCTTGTAAGTTAGGTGCTATAATGATTCCCATTTTACAGTTGAGGGATTGTCAAGGGACCTATCCAGGGACACACAGCCAGGACAATCACAGTCTGAGGCTGGATTTGAACTCACCTCTTCCCTCTCTCAGTCCAGAGATCTATCCACTGCACCACTCAGCTGCTGAATGAATGTTTGATGAGGTAAGCCAAAGTCCCCTCCCTTCTGGGGGCCTCATTGATTTCACCATATCATCCACAAGGTCTCTTCCAGATCTAAAGCCTACAATTCTACATTTAGCTTCATAGGGATTCAGGGTGCTGTGAGTCCCAGGCCCTGGCCCCCCTGAGGAATGGAGGGAGGGATTCTGCCCCCCCCGGGAAGGGAGGGAGGGACTGCCCCCCTAGGAAGGGATGGAGGAAGGGACTCTGCACCCCCCAAGGAAGGGAGGGAGGGACTCTCCCCATCTCAGCTGAAGGGAGGGCTGTGTGTCCCCATAACATAGTGTCACACCTGTACCTCATGCCCACCTGGCCCATCAAGGCTCCAAGGAAGTAAGATGCACATGTCCAGAGAAGGAGGGAGGGAGTAGGGGAGCCTTAAAGGCTCTGATTAAGTCACACAGCAGTGGCTAGCATAGTCTAATGACCAATCCTCAGTGCTTACACAATTTGTTGTGCAGTCGATCAGAATACAGAGCAGGCCTTTGTGCTGGCAGTCACAACCCACACCCCACTTCCCTCCCAATTCTAGTCTGCTGGCCTGCCACAAAAACTCAAATTATGAACTGCATTATTCTAACTCAGAACTGTGGAGCCCATTAACTCCCCTCTTGTCACCTCCCATAAAGTGCTTCCTCACACAGAAGCTATCATTTGGAACATGGGGGAGGGGAGAAGGAGAGAGGGCACAGGGATCTTTGGGAAATTATTTGCATTGGACTAAACATTTTGAATTGAGGCAGAGCCTGGTGAGATGATAAAAGCCCTGCTCTTGGCCTCAAAAGGTCTGGGTTCAAGGTCTCATTGACTACATGACCTGAGGCAAGTCACTGAACTCCTCTGAGCCTCAATTTCCTCTTCTGTAAAAGATATAGATCCTGACCAAAGAGATTTAATAACAATAAATCCCACCTTGGGTTCAAAGACTCGACAGGATAGGGGAGATGTTAGCACAACAGTTTAGAAAGGAAAAGATTAGACAATTCCCATGTGTCAGCAGTGTGATATGGCAGCCCAAAAGTTGGTGAATGAGATTTTAACACATACAAACCCTAAGGGGAAAATATTGTCCAGGACAATGAGGGGACAAGTCCCTCTGTCCTCTACCCTGACCAGATGGTGTCTCAGGGGCTGTGTCCAGTCACGGGGACCACAGTTTAGGAAGAGCACTGACAAACCAGAGTTTATCGCGAACAGGAAGACAGGATAGGGAGAGGCCTAGAAACCAGACCATAGAAAGGAGAACCAGATAAAATACATGGGTCTGTAAGGCCTGGAGAAAACAAGACTCCAGAGGTGTGAAAGACATCTCCTTATGGCTGGAAGGAAAAGGGACTAGAGGGGACCTGCTTGACCACAGCAGGTAGAAGCTGCCAAGGGGTGCAGTGGAGCTTGGTGCCATGAGAAATTCCCTTCCCACTCACCACAGCTGTCTCTAGTAGGAAGGGAATCAGCCGCTGTTGGATGAATGAAGGAGAGATCAAAATGGATCGTTTTCTTCTGAATCTCAAACATCCCTGGCTACCTTCAAGAGCCAGCCCCCACTTCCTGCTCTGCCAACAAGCGTGGATGAAAAGCGGGGAAGGAGACAAGCCCACAACCACTCATTCACACACATGGAAAAGGAAACGTGTTGTATTGGAGGAAATTAGGATTGCCCAAAGGACTTGGTCTCAGGAATCCTAAGTCCTAGTGCTGGAAAGCTCCCAATTCTGGAAAGCAAATCATTGGCTGGGGTGGAGGGAGGAGGAGAGGGGAGGCAGTTTCCTCATAAAAAACCAGTTTACAATTACAGGGCTTCTCAATAACTCATGACTGAAGAGTACTTGAGGTCCACAGAGCACTGCCCTCACAAAAACTCTCTGAGGCTGGATCACAAGCAGATTTAAGTAAAGGAAACTTTCAATGTTGTTCTTCTGGTTCTGCTCAAATTGGTCTTCAACATCCATAAAAGTCCTCAGAATTGTTTATTTTAATAATATTGATGTTAATAGAACAAATCATTCTCCTGGTTCTGCTCACTCCCCTATGTATCAGATGTTCATATAAGTCTTTCCACATCTCTTTGGAATCATCTCTTTGCTCATTTCTTACAGCACAATAGTTCTCCATCCCATTTATACACCACAAATTATTCAGCCACTCTTCAATTGATAGGCATGCCTTTCCAGGTTTTTTTAATACCACAAAAAGAGCTGACATAAATATTTTTGTACATAAAGGTTTTTCCTATTTCTCTGATCTCTTTGGGATGTTTTGCTTGGCTATGCACATTTGTTACAAGGGATATTTTTCTTTTTTTATTGGGGTGAGGGTGACAGAGAAAAAATAGACTTCTGTTAATTTTTTAAAATTAAAAGGGAGAGATTGGGAGGGTGCACTTTCAGATGAGGTCACTGTATTTTTGGCTTAGCTGAATTGTTTTATTTTGTTACAAGAATAGGGATAATGTGGAATTGATTGTAACAGAAAAACAAAAAGATCAACAAAATTTAAAAATCAGATTTATTTTTTAGAATGGAGCAAATTCAAGCTTAGAGATATCAAGTGAACTCACCCAGTGCCACACAACTCATAAGGGCCAGAGGCTAGGTCTCTCCTGACTCCCCAGTCACCCATCTTGTCATCCTTCCATGCTGCCTCTCTGACATGGAAGTGATCTTTGAGATCATTCAATCCAATGTCTCGCTTCAGAGAAGACAAATGAGGCACAGGGAAGGGAAAGGACAAACTATTGGAGTACAGGTTCAGTCCTCTTTCCACTTATCCACTAGACTGCTGGGTGCTGACCATGGCCACTTCATCAGTGTTCCAATCCTGGCTAATAAGGCAGCTTGGAGGTATCTGACGGAAACCACATCCCTCTGCATCAAAAGCATGGTGGGGAGAGAGTGATCAAAAACACATCAAGACAGAGAAAACATGAAGATTCCAGTGTGCATGAGGGGAAAAGAAGCAACTGGATTTTTTCAGCCAAAACAAGCTCTCTTCGAATGACCACTCACCCCCAACCAGCAGTGGTAGCTTACATGAATCACCTGTGGATAGAACCTAGTTCTGGTAGCTTAACTTTGCTGCTTGTCACATGGGATGCTTGGATCTTAGATATAGGGCTAGGAGGGACCTTGGAGGTCATCCAGTCCAACTCCTTCACTTTGCAGAGGAGAAACTGAGGCCCAGAGAAGATAAGAAACTTGCCCAACATCACATAGGGCTCCTCTTACCCAAGGCAAGTTATCTTTGAGAAGTATCAGTGGGATCCCCAGGAGGAATACTTCATAGAACCTTGAGAACCAGAGTTTACTAATAGAATGGGGAGCCTCCCCTCTATTGGCTCTTTGTGTGACTCCCATTCTAAATTTGCCTATTGGGATCTGGGTCCAAGGAGAAGTGTCCCACATTTGTGCTCCGAAGGACACCTGGGATCCAGGCCCGCATTGATATAGCAAACCATATTCAAGCTTTTATTCAAGTTTTAATTGACATTAAAACACAGGAGAGGTGTTCCTACACTTCTGATTTTCCACTTCAATGCATGCTTAGGCTGGCTTCCACAAGTGCTGTGGCAGACATTTCCAGGCAGTGGGGACAATAGAACTCATGTGACCAATTGGGCTCGCCCCACCCCAAGGCTGCTTTGACTGGAATATAGTCCTGGAGCTTCAAGCACAAGCCTTGGGAAAGACTGGCATGTGGCTTATTCACATTCCTAGTCACTGATTTCTAGGGTCATGGAATCATTGATCAGAGCTGGAAGGGAGCTCAGAGGCCATCTAGTTCAACTTGCTCAGTTCATAGAGGAGGAAAGTAAAGCCATTGAGTGACTAGCTGGAGGCTTCATAGGGAGTCAGCCTCAGAGATGGAATTTGGAGACAGGTCCTCTGCCTCCAAAGCCACAATCTTTATCCAGTCTACCAAGTACTAGCTTCCAGATTAACTCCCAGATTCTCTCCAGCCCAGCAGAAAGAGTGGATCTCTCCAAAGGAATCTCACCTCATAGAACCCAGTACCCAAAACTTGCCCCTTATACCCAAAAGTCTAGGCCTCTGGGCAGAAACAATGTGTAAGCAAGCTCGGACGCACACACACACACACACACACACACACACACACACACACACACACACTACATAGGGTCAAGGTTCCCTGGAATGCTCCTTCATAGTGTCAACACCCAAAGTTAGCAATGATGAGAGAGCTGCTGCCACTAATAAACTCAAGATGGCTTAGAGTTCTTTGAGGTCTTTCCTGGAAGGCCTGTGCTTTAGGCCACTGAATTAGCTATAGCAGCTATGAGGGAATGTCCATTTAGTTATTGGGAATCCATGAAGACAGCAGCTCCCTATCCCGTGGTAGTTCAGGACCATGGACAGCACTTGGAGGCTGTTACGCAGCCCACCATGTTGGAAATGCAAGCCAAAGTGATTTCAGTCTGCTTCATGGTGGAATTCAATCTCTGCTGACAGTGCCATGGAACATGGAGTCAGAGAACCTAGATTCAGGGTGGTCTCCATCATGCTTTTGATCTTATCGGGGTGGTTATGGGCATATATTCCTTACCCTTGCTGAGCCTGTTCCCTTAGCTGTGAAATGGGGATAATATTCAATGCCCAGACCCTATCTCAGGATTGGGGGGACCAAAGCGTTTTGTAGATCTTTGTGCAGTGTATGTCCAAGATTGACATATGATGCCTGTCTGGGTAAAGGATGTCAGGAGCATTCACTGATGTGTATTAACTATCTTGAATAAATAATGATACAAGCCTTGAAGATGCAGAAGGCTCAGGCTGGCTCTCCAGCTTTAGGCTCTATCATGGATAGAGCTGGATAGAGAAGGAGCCTAGGGTTAGCAAGTCCCATGTTCCACAGGATTTAACATGACTCCCCAGGCACCCCTTCTCAGAAGAAGGAAATGCTGGCTGGGGGCAGAGCACAGAGGGTTAGTGTGAGGCTCAAATGAGCACTTTGCAAACCTTAAGAAG